CCCCCCCCCCCCCCCCCCCGGTGGAGACGAGACCTTTTCTGCTTTGTTGCAGCCAGCGGTGACTTTCTGGCAGTTGGGATCTTGGACCTGTATGTTCAGATCTGCCTGATCTAAGCCTCACAGTTACTTCAGGGATTGTCTTTAAAGTGTGTGATAAGATATGTTGGGATGGGACCTTAAGCATGTGTACGCCTGGGAGTTTGTGTGTGTGTGTGTGTGCACATGCAGAGCAGTAGGGAGGGGCTGTGAGGGCTTAGAGGAAGGGTAGGTTTACATGCTCTGATCTGTAGATTTTTGTGATTGTGGGATCAGCTCTTTTGCCAAAAACGGCTTATGTTTTATATTGCCTTGAGGTATTTCTTTAAATACCACAGTCCTGCTCTGGGCTGGGCGCAGTCTCTGCACAGAATTTAATTTCCAGAAGAGAGAGAGAGAGAGAGAGTGTGTGTGAGTGTGAGCGAGCTTTTGTCATGTGATGGTGGTTCAGTAGCAATCGCTGGTCTTGGCAAGATGCTTTACCTTCCTCTACCCCCCATGGTAAAGTGAAGCCTGACAGTAACTCCTGAAAACTGCGACACAAGCACAGCAGGAGCTGCATTCTGGAGCCAGCAGGTCTCAGGTCTCTTGAGCATTAAACCCCGGTGGGAAAGTACTCGGTAAACTTGTGCTAAGGTGCGGTAATTTTCTTTAGTCCATTCCTTAATATGCATGCCCGCAAAGTCAATGTGGATGTTGAACTCTTCAGTGTAAACAGATGGGGATATGTGACTTTCTAAAAAAACCCTGTCTTTTAAAATTTCAGCTCTTGGTAGCAAGGCCCTTGGCGGAACGGCATAATAACTAAGATAATGTAATTTTCTGTCATCTGGCTGCACTGCCTGTTGGGCTGATCCCTGTCTCACTGAGAACTGCTGATTGGCTAATTACAGTAGTTTTACAGTGATTTGTAAGAGAAGACATTTGTAACACAGCTTTTATCTGAAGCATTCATTGAACTTGAGCAGTACATGCATCCCTTGAATTGAATTGTGGATGGATATTGCCATTCAGTGATGCATATTTTTAGATGATGAAGGATATTTCTTAAAGGCAAGCTGTTGGCAGTTAAAAATAGCTACACATTGTGCATTTGCTGAGAATGCAGTCAAGCTCTGGCGACAGGTTGTTATGGTTTGACTATCCTAAGTAAGTATTCACAATTGGTACTGCGGAGTCATGCATGATCTTCCTTTTTTGTATTTTTTATGGCTTTATTATAATAATACAGTCTTCCTCTGCAGTGAATTGACCTTTCTGTTCACAGTTTGATTTGTAGGTTAATAGAACACATGATAGTATTTTTATGTGGGTGGTGTCTTACCTACTTATGAAACTTTCAGATATGCAAGAACGGATTGCATTTTTCAGTCTGTAACCTCTGACTTAGTCTTCAAACTGCTTTAGCTTGCTTGTAAATGTATAGTTAAAAATGGAAGCATTTCACTTCTGGAATGATGAGCCAAGGAGAATTTTTATACATTCTCTGATGCAGATCAGATACCTACTTCTTTTATTTTGTGACCAGAAAACAATCATCTACTTTTGAAAACAGTTAATTCAGAAGAAAAAGTTATAGATTGAAATCCAGTCTTGTACTCATTGGAATTATTCATGAAGAGTAAATATTTTGAAGGTTTGACTGAAAAATCAAATGTTCTCATTTACTCTGTTTATGTAAACAAGTGTCTAATTGAATAGTACAACGCTTAATGCTGGCTATAGATCACTTGATTTTTGGCACAAAGGGGATGTTTCCATAACTAATGGACAGAAAATTAGTGCTTTTTTGCAACAAATTACAGAATAGCTGTCTTGAAACATTCTGTTTATGTTAGTGAGGCAAATGTCCTGCAGCTGATACCCTAAGATGCTCTCTTTCATCCCCTGCTACTAGTGCTATTTCATAGTCCTGGGCATTGAGTCAAAGTAGTCCTTTGGCTCCTTACATGCCAAAAGGAGGAAGATTAAACTGCTGAAAGGAAGGAATTGCTTGTACAAGGGATCAATGAACACAGCCAGTTTGCTGATGACACTCTAACCTTGAGGGACACCAAAAAACATACCCATGTCTACAAATCTTGTCAACATGGAGCTTGAGACTAAATTGTGAAATCAACAACGAAGTAATTTTATGGTTCAGAAATTGTAATAGAAAACATAATCCCAAATACAGAATGCTTCCTACGAGAGTTTGTGACATGAATGTGACTAAATAGTGGAAATTTGCATTAAAACATGGTATTACAACAGAAGATGCCGTAATGGATTTTATTTTCTTTGCTTAACTAAAATGTAGGGTGGATGGAAAATGTGCAAATGAGCAGATGACAGTGGTCTGTGGTGTCAGTTATTTCATGTGGATAAAGTGATAATCTTCAAACAGTTGTAACAAGGATACGATTATATATGCATAATCCAGTAGGCATGATATTGCTGTTATTTTTCATTCAGTTTAATCAACACAGGCAATTTGCTATTACTGAAGAGTTCTGTCTAGCAAAACTTTACTAATGCTTTTATTTACTGTTCATTTTCTGACATTAAGTTTTCCCAAAATTGCTGCCAAGATAGTTATAAGTGGGCATGTACACAGATCTTGATTTGTTTGCTAGAAACAGTCTGGTAATTGCAAAAAATAAAAATAATGTTTGAAGTGTAATCAAAGCTGGAAATACATTTCTGTTGATGCAATCATGAATGTGATTAGATAATCATAGGTCCACTTTGCATTTTTCAAGGGACAACTCTAGGTATGTTTATCTACAAAAGCAATCAGTTTGTTATAGGTAGACAGTTTGAGCATTGATTGACAAGTTGTTTGATTTCCACTTTAAAATAATAAGCATCTCTGCAAACACTGTAGAGAGACTTGGGAATTTGAAAATGTTGAGGATTTTTTTTTTTAATGCTGATGCCAGTACGCAGCCTTTGGCAGGAATTCTATGAAAATAACTTTTGTGGTATGATTTCAGCATGATGTAGTATGTGTTTGACAAGATGCAGATTATTTCTAATACAGGTGTGTAGGTTGTAGCTGTGCTGGTCTAAGGACATAGGCAGACACAGTTCTCTGGGTAAATCTGGTCTCTTTTGATAAAAGAGATTAGATTTATGCAAATAACCTTGTCTGCCATTATTTCTAATCCTTGGAAAATGTCCATTTATGTTTAAGGAGACTTTACTAAATGAATGGGGTAGATTATTACTGAAAAAATAATATACAATCACCTCCCACTATGGGAGATTTGTTATTTTTTTACAAAGTTTGTCTGCTAAATAGTAGGTGTAATTATGACCTGTGTTTTCTTATCACACTATCATTGTTCAGTGCTTCTCCATTTGTGTAGGGCCAGAAAAAAGACTGCAAATTTTGTTCTTACAATCACAGGTTTCCATTACAATTACATCCTTTGTTTTAACATTGATGTGCTTTCTCTATAAATTAGCACCAGTGGACTGATCTTGCCTAAATGACATATTGATTTAGGAAGTTAGAACATCCAAATGTTGTATTCATTTTGCAGAGATAAATCACTGACAGGAAAGAACCAGGCCTTACTAGTTGTCATTATACCCCACAAAGAAATCTGCATGAACATTAAGCTTACTAGACTGTATATCCCACAGATCAGAAGTTTCAAGGAAATATACAACTAAGTTATTCAACATCCCAGGATATATCAAAGAATCGTTAGAAAATTAGGGTGGGAAGGCACCTCAGGAGGTCATGTAGTCCAAACCCCTGCTCAAAGCGGCACAAACTCCAGCTGTATCATTTCAGCTGAGGCTTTGTCTAGCCAGGACTTAAAAACCTCCAAGGGTGGAGATCCCACCAGCTCTCTGGGTAACCTGTGCCACTGCTTTACTACCCTCCTGGTGAGAGAGATTTTCCTAATATCCAACCTACACCTCCCTTGCTGCAACTTGAGACTGTTGCTCCTTGTTCTCTCATCTGCCACCACGGAGAACAGTCTAGCTCTATCCGCTTTTGTAACCACCCTTCAAGTAGTTGAAGGCTACTGTTGAATCCCCTCTCAGTCTTCTCTTCTCTAGACTAAATAAGCGCAGCTCCCTCAGCCGCTCCTCAGGAGTCGCGTCCCCCAGCCCCCTAACCATTTTCATTGCCCTCCACTGGACTCTTTCCAATTTGTCCACATCCTCAAGGTCCTGATTCAGCAAACCGCTCATAAGCTTAACCTGTTGGAAAATAGCCAAAGAGAATGATTGAGCTCTTACCATTTTATAAGCTTCCGGTCTCTGTCCAGTGACTCCCATCAGCCTTCTCAGGGGATTACAGACCCCTGCCAGGTGACTGTTGCCAAGGCAGCCTCTCCCCCTCACTCCCATCCAGTTCTCCTTAGTGGGGGTTCATTGTTTAGAGTGATAATGTATCTGTGGTATGATTACATTTCTGTGGTATGTCACTTAAGTCAGTGACCATCTAATGTTTCCTTTTGGGATCAGGCTTTGGAATTTAAGCTCAAGTTGGAGGTGAAAAGATAAACGGGAAGTTGTACATTCAAAACAACATTGACAGCTTGGTAAGGAACTCGTGCCGTCATACAGGCTTCATAAATTGTACTGTGAAATTCCCCAAATGAGACTCTCTCTCTCCAGTATCCTTGCAGGAAAGTGTTTGTCATGTATAGATTTGACATATCCCTTCCTTCCTGAAACCCCCTAAGTGGCTTAATGAAACGGATATGAATCCTGAGAAGATTGCATCTCATCAAAAAGATGTTCGACAGTTATCTTCCTGAGCGTGATTAGGACTTAGCTGCATTCAGCTGCTCAAGGCCCAGTATGCCCCAAGCCAACAGATGTAAGCGAGACAAAAGCAAGCTGGACTTTAATAGTGGATGTCATTCAAACCTCAGCTCTCGAATTAAGGACTCAATTCAATATCCTTATTCAAACAGAAGTCCCATTGACTTAAAAAAAAAAATCCATGGTGAGATCTATTGGAGGTTTCCCCCTCCTCTCCTGAATAAGTATTGCAGAATAGAGGCCCAATGATTCAAAATCACACATTTGCAATTACTAGATGATGTTTTGTTATACTTGATAGTATTTAGTATATACAATGTGCTTCTAATTTGCAAGCCTTTACATTTAGTATTTACATATTTCATTTTATAAATATTTGCATTTTCTTATGTAATATTTGCATTTGAAGTATGCTATTCTGTGCTCATATGTTCTTCCATATATATTTTTAACAGCACTAGTTAAAACTTTTTTACTCAACTTGTGCATTTTATTATGGAGAATTTGTGTGAGACATATCCTTGTTCTGTAGAAAACAATGATCTTCAATGTAATTTAATTTAAGTAGCAAATTTAGCATCAGGTTAACAAGGCTATTAATATTGCAGAAGACCTCATTAGTTTTTTTATTTATGATATTTTTGATGAAGAGCCCCATTTGTACTATATACTGTATTACACATGGTTCTTTCATGGAAGCTCTAATTAAGAGCCTTTCATTGAAATTTGGTCAACTGTGATATAGGTTATTTCAAACAGAGAACGTGTGAAAACCCTTGAGAACAAAGAAATAATATAGGAGGACATAGAGCTGAGAAGATGTTCAGAAAATACCAAGACAGGATTTTGATTTGAAAAAACCAAAAAAACTCCTGCATGCTTCTATAAGACATATATATATAAATGATCAGAAACACAGAATTATTTGTACTTGGGAGAACACCTGGGAAACTAATGCTGAAAGAGGGCAAGTGGGGGGAATGGACAGTACACTAAACTTTCAGTGTAACATGGTTTCAGGGGGAAAAGGCAGCATGTTTTTTCCAGCAAAGGTTTTGTGTCATGGAACTAATAAAGGATTAGATTCTCTGTGTTTAATTCTGGTACCAGATTAATATAAGATCCCAACAAACTGGAGGCAGTTCAGCAAAAGCAACAGAAATGATTGTGACTGTGGAAAACTTGCGTCATGGTATGAAGAAAGATTAAGAGTTAAATATTTAGTTTAGCCAATGACTAAACAGAAAAGTAATAAAGGTTTACAGAAGGGGTGTCAAACTCATCTGGCCATGTGGGCTGGATGAGTGGTGCTGTTAATATCAAGGAGAAGAGGCATCTCTCCTGTGGTGCGTTATGGGTGTAGCTGCAAATAGGGTGCA